AAAACATAGTGGCCATTATGGCTGTGTTTACAAAAAGAAATACAGATATGTCACTGACTAACAAATCTTTCCAGTCCTTTGTTTCGTTTTAATTTTTATTTGTAAGTAGTATATCCATGAATTTCCAATTTAAACGTTATGAGAGGCTTTTGACAAGGGACTTTAATTCATTTATATTTTTTCATAGCCAGTATATTTGATCTTATATTTACTGTTTTTATTTTGTTCCCTTCTTGGTTCCCTACTGTTTTGTTTTATTTTATTGTCAGTGTTATATCTGCTTTTCTTCCTCCGGTGATTTTATAAGGTGTACATTCAGTTTTAATGTTTATTGTGGTTATTTTAAGGTTGTTCAGAAGACTTTTTAATCCATATTTCTTTAGTAGTCAAAATCACTTAAACAGATTCCTTTTTCTTTTTCCCCTCATATATGTGAAACAGAGAATTTTGTACATTTCATTTCTTTCCACTGCCCTGTATAGTTACTTGGACAGTATCTGTGGTTTGGAACCTGTTTTTTGTTTTTGTTTTTGTTTTTACGTCTATATGTATTTTTAACTACTCTCAGTATTCTTAACAGATTTTTTAATGTAAGGGCTTTTCCATTTTTAAGGTTTTAATTTTAATTTGTGGTGCCTCAAGTGGATGATTTATTCAAGAAATTCTTTGAAGAAGGATACATGGAATTATATTTTCCGAGTCTTTGTGTATTTAGTAACATATTTGTGGGTCTAAAGACATTTTTAAAATATACAATTTCTGACTCACATTGTTTTTCTATTAAAACTTGGGAACTTCCTTTCATTGTTTTCTGCTACTTAATGTTGCAGAGAAATATCCAAAGTCAACCTGAGTTGCATTTTTTCATAAGGTTAGTTTTTCTACCTTCATGTTTTTAGATATTTTGTTTTTATCCTTGTAGTTAAGATTTACCTAAGACTTTTCAAGGTATAATAGTTTCTTCGCTGATTATTGCCTGACATTTAGTGATCTAAAAGTTGAAATTTTTTTTTTTTCATTCAGGAAAATTTTTCAGCCTTACTGTTACTTATTGATCTTTTCTATTTCTTGTTTTAGCCTCAGGAACAACCGTATTTCTTAGCTTACAGCTCCTTTGTCCTGTCTTATCATTATATTTCTTGTAGTTTTCATCTCTTACTTTTTATTTTACATTCTGAGCTATCTTTTTTGTGTTCTGTATCAGTGAGTTAAACTTGTCATGTTTATTTTTACCCTTGTTTCCTCCAGTGCAATTTTAGTTCTTAATTATTTTTCACCTTTTCATCTTGGATGTCCTTGAACTTTCTATTTCAAAGTTAGGAAAGCTTCTTGTATTCTACTGATGCCAAATAATTTTCTAAAATTTTGTTTAGGAGTCCTATTTTTAGATGTCTTTCCTCTCTTTGAATAGCGAGGATGCTATTCCTTGGGAGTGTTTGCTAAAAGACAATGTACATATATTGTCCATAGCCCCACATTTTTCTTAACTTGGGTCATCTTTGATCTACCGTTGTACAGGTCCTTATACAAATCTCTTAGCTCAGTTTCCAGGGTCTTGAATTGGGTTTTCTTCTTTGCCTGATTGTACATTCTTCTGGACAGGTGAGCATGTGGGAAAATGATAGCCTCAGATATTCACAGCTGCTGGAGATCCTTAACAGCTGTCCCATAGACAGTATATTCCATGGGTTACTCTTTTTTTGTTTGTTTAAGAATGCAGTTTAGGGGTGCCTGGCTTGCTCAGTGGGAAGAGCACATAACTCTTGATCTTGACTCTTGATCTCAGAATGGTGAGTTCAAGCTCTATGTTGGGTGTAGAGATTACTTTAAAAAAAAAAAAAAAAAAAGCAGTTCACCACTACTTCTTTTCTACTTCTTGCCAAGTTTTTTTTTTTCTAAGAAATTTAGTCACTGACTAGATCAAGAAACAGAATAGTAGCGGAGTGAGAAGAGTAACAGGAAATAATCACTGACTACTGTCTCAAAAAATAGCTCCCATCCAGTAGAGAAAAAGCTGCATGGTTTTCTGTTAGTATGTTTCTGAACCAGAAGAAAATAGTGAAAGAGGAGGTAATGGTCTTTATATCTACTTGCTTATGGCTGTGCTCTTTCAGAGAGTAATTAGTGGGTATTTTTCATTTCTGTTGCATTGGCTTGCAGTACCTTAGTTTATTTATTCATTCATTTTTTTCAACCAGTACTTACTAAGTTCTTATGATGTGCTAGGCCCTCTGCTGTGTACTGGTTATATAAATGTTAAACAAATTAAAGTTGGTTTTTTAATTGATAGCAGGGGTAGTTTCTGGGTTTTGTCAATAATATATTTTGGTGATGGTGTGATGTTTTATTTCCCTGTTCCTTTTTTTCTTAATCATCTCTGGCAAGTTAAGAAGGACTGTATTAAAAGGAAAAAAAAAAAAAAGTGGTCCCTGGGTGGCTCAGTCCGTTAAGTGCCTGACTCTTGATTTTTGGCTCAGGTCGTGATCTCACTATTTGTGGGATTCAGCCCCATATCCACCTCTGGGCTGACAGCGGACAGCGTGGAGCCTGCTTGGGATTCTCTCTCCCTCCTCTCTGCCTTTCCCCTGCTCACACCCTGTGTCTCCCACATCAGATAAATAAATGAATAAACAAACAAACAAACAAACATTAAAAAGAAAAACTGTAGCCTAGATAACCAGTTTAAATTCTTTTTCTCCATATGAAATTTTAAGTTGCTCTGGATTCAGGAAATAATTTCTATGAATACAATTTCGATGAATACTTCCCTAAGACCTCTCATCATGGCTAACTTACTACTGTTCTCGCTTTTTTTTCTTAAACTTTCTTTACTTTCTTAGATGAATAAATCATATCAACAAAATTATCGTGTTTTATATGATGATCTCAATAAATGTTTTGGCATGACAGCACTTCAGCTTAAGAGTTTTCATTCTGAAAGAGACTCCTATTTGAAAGGCAAGCAGTAAACCTGCATTAGGTGATGATAGATGAATTCATTTTGGGTTTTAAGTTTATTTTCTGGCATTTATTATTAAAAATAAGGTTTAAAAAAATTTTTTTTAACGTTTATTTATTTTTGAGACAGAGAGAGAGCATGAACGGGGGAGGGTCAGAGAGAGAGAGGGAGACACAGAATCCGAAACAGGCTCCAGGCTCTGAGCTGTCAGCACAGAGCCTGACGTGGGGCTTGAACTCATGAACCGCGAGATCATGACCTGAGCCGAAGTCGGACGCCTAACCGACTGAGCCACCCAGGTGCCCCAAAAATAAGATTTTTAATAATTTTATTATTAAAACAGTTAAGTGTCTGACTCTTGATTTCAGCTCAGATCATGATCTCATTGTTTGTGAGTTGAGCCCCAAGTGTCTCCTCACTGACTGGGCTCCTCACTGACTGCGTGGTACCTGTTTGGGATTCTCTCTCTCCCTCCCTCTCCTTCTCCCCCTCCCCCTCCCCCTCCCCCTCTCTGCCCCCCCCACCCCTCCTCCTCTCCCATGCCCCCCCCCCGCCCCTCCTCCGCTGGCATGCACACACATGCACATGAGGTCTCTCTTTCAAATAAATACTTTATTTATTTTTTTTTTCAACGTTTATTTATTTTTGGGACAGAGAGAGACAGAGCATGAACAGGGGAGGGGCAGAGAGAGGGAGACATAGAATCGGAAACAGGCTCCAGGCTCTGAGCCATCAGCCCAGAGCCTGACGCGGGGCTCGAACTCACGGACCGCGAGATCGTGACCTGGCTGAAGCCGGATGCTTAACCGACTGCGCCACCCAGGCGCCCCTCAAATAAATACTTTAAATAAAATTGGAGGCATTTGATTTTTCTCACCCCTTTCTACATAAAGAAACAAATAATTTTTGTATGTGGTTTTTATACTTAGAGAAAATATACATAGTACTTTATGCTTCTGGCAAATATTATGAGCTTTTAAACAAAACCAAAAAATAAAAATTGAAAAATCAGAGCATTTAGCAAATAGACAAGAAGCACAAAATACACATAGACCTACAAGTCTGAAATGTAACAAGTGAAGTAATTGTTTAATTTTAGTAAGTAAACCCATAAAAGCAAGATAGAATATTGATTTATAATTGGGTAGTTAACATGTTTGTTTTACAATTTGTAATAGAGTTATTGTCAAGGAAAGGAAACTTTAAGCAACACAGAACCTGACAATTATAGGACACATCTCATTTTAATTTCTCCAAGTGCCAGTTTTAAAAAACAATAAAGCTTTCTGTGTGCAGAAATACATGTATAAGATTGTAGTCCTCTTGAGGGTAATGACCCTATATAAATTACCTTATGTCTCCGAATGTTAGAGTCAAAAGAGGCTTGTTACTTTTGATGAAGAAGACACAATCCTTAGGGAGAGCATAATGTGTCCCTTAACCTGTGGTAAGATTAATGGTAACATTTGTTTTAAAGATAGTAGTCCCCATTTAAAAGTATTTTCGTATTAGCTACAGCAGTCTCAACCAGTTTGTTCACACCTGGTGCACTTGTGTTAAATTTGTTGTATTGGGGAGGGGAATAACTTCATCAGGTGGAGTGCATAGTATGTTGTTCACAGCTCTTTCACCTAGGGATTAGAAATCTTCTGTCCCCTATCCCCAACTACATCTACGTATCTGCAGAGATCCCATAGCCCTAAATGTACATGCTGTCCGTAGCTGAAAATCAGTCTCAGATTGTGGTAAGAAACATGGCTAATTGGTGCATGGTAGTCATTTTGTAGCAGAGGTAGATAAGCATTGCTGGAAGATTTAAGCTTTATGTCCATTGGACACTTGCCTGAGTACTAAGTTTGTTTTATTTTGCCAGCAGGTTTGATATTTGCAAAGTTGTTTTGATTATTTGTGTTGTACCCGACTAAAAGGATACTTGACATATTTTCCCAAAACTCTTAAAAACAATCAAGTTTATATAACATGTAACTAATTTTAAACTCATAAACTGTATGTTTATAATAATTGATGTGCTTATTTCTAGGGGCCACCCACAGATGCTCCTGCAGTGGACACAGCAGAGCAAGTATATATTTCTTCCCTTGCACTGTTAAAAGTAAGTATTGAAAGTTACTTGCTTTAGAGAGCTTTATTGCTTTCACTCTCTGTCTTTTAGTTGGGAATATTTGTTAATGTTAATCCTCAAACGGAAGCTGTTGTTCTAGGTACATCTATAATAAGAGTGTTTTTATTTCTACTAAAGCAAAATTAGGTTATTAAAAAAATAAAAAGGACCAAAGATTTTAAAGCTTCGTATCTACCTATGTTCTCTTTACAGATGTTAAAGCATGGTCGTGCTGGAGTTCCAATGGAAGTTATGGGTCTTATGCTTGGAGAATTTGTTGATGATTACACCGTCAGAGTGATTGATGTGTTTGCTATGCCACAGTCAGGAACAGTGAGTACTTTTTATGGTTGCCTGCTGTAAGTAAATGTGTTTCTTTTCTCTTTCCTTTTCCTATGCAAAATCACTTTCATCATATTATATTTTTCTCTTCCTGATAGGAAAAATCCATCATAAGATTAATGATAGAAATATCTAGATTGCATTGAATTAAGTCATTCATCTTTTGAATGCATCATGAATTCCCTGTAGGTCCACAAACTGAAGGATGCTAGCATTAAATCCCTTTACTCATACTTTCAGCTTTAACTAGCATAGCATCCTAGATTTATGTTAATTGCTAAAATAGTAGGGTATTAATTGAACACTTCAGCAGATTTTAGAGACTCTCTTAGACTTAATTCAGATACATTATCTAGTCCTCATGTTTTGTTCCTATTGTTTTGAAATATGGTCCCTTTTATTATAGATGGTGATAAATGACTCGTAAGCTTTTCCTATTCAAAATGTTAAATTTAATGAAACCAAAAAACTATGGCAAACTTTAGTTCTTTTGCCCAGGTATGGTAATTTCTTTATAGAGGAAGCATATACTACATACAAACTTTGGAAGTCATCTACTTTATCTTTTTAGAATACATTGTATTATTCTCTCTGGAAGCTTTTTATTTTGTTTTGGTATTTTATGTAATGCATTGGATTTGTGTGGCCAAAAAACAGTAACTCTTCTACCTTTCGTACAAAAAACTGTACACATATCCTTCTCATCTGTTTGCCTAGAAAAATATAACATATATATTTTTCTGATGGATTTTTTCCCCTAATATTCAACATTTCTCTTATCGAGCTTTGTAAAATATCTGGATTAAAGAGATTGTTGTCATACAGCTGTTTGCTCTGTTTGAGACTCTTAACTGTAAGTATTCTTCAACAAAGTAGATAATAGAGAAAACCAAGTTCTGTTTTTAAATAGTGTAATATATACATTTTATAGACTGTTTAGAGTAGTTATTACAGATAGTAGTGTGTTTGTAAATGATGCAAAATATAGAAAAATACACAAGTTCTTCTCCAAAATTTAGATCTGCTGATTTTGTCCACCTGGCTATCCCTTATCTTTATTTTGTACAATTGGATATAGAGAGATATGCTGCATGTTAACTAAAAATTTAGATTTATGTCTTAGGCTGTTGTTACTTGTATTTATCTTTTCATGTCAGAATTTGAAAAGCATAACAAAATTAACTAGTATTTCTGTTATATGTGGTCTTTATCAATTATAATAAAGAGTTCTTAAGTTTTAATATCATTTCCTTCTAAATGTTTGTTTGACAGTTTGAAATAGAAGATTTTGATCTTTGTGTTCATTCTATGTAGTAGATTAGAAAGGTTTTCTTCTGGCCCAAGAGTTAACAAACTTTCTGTAAAAACATGTTTCTGTCTCCTACTCTTATGATTTTTTTTTTTTTAATTTTTAAACCCCCTTTAAAAATGTTCAGAACAAAACAACTACTACAACAACAAACACCTATAGGCAACCTATGCCTATAGGCATACCCCTGTTCTTGAGGATGCTTTCTCTATTAAGATTCAAAATATCGGGGCGCCTGGGTGGCTCAGTCGGTTGGGTGTCCGATTTCGGCTCAAGTCATGATCTCGCAGTCCGTGAGTTTGAGCCCCGCGTCGGCCTTTGTGCTGACAACTCAGAGCCTGGAGCCTGTTTCGGATTCTGTGTCTCCCACTCTCTGTCTGACCCTCCCCCATTCATGCTCTGTCTCTCTCTGTCTCAAAAATAAATAAACGTTAAAAAAATTAAAAAAAAAAAAGATTCAAAATATCATTTGTTTGGGTGGGAAGGAAGTGCTTAAATATTAACTGCTTTATTGAGATAGATTAAATTCCTGATGTTAGAAGAAAACCTTGTAGGAGTTATAATGGCACTGATCTATCACTGGAGAGATGACATGATTGCCTTTAATTCTTCCATGTTCTAAAAATCTTTTGAACTAGCAAGACAATGCAGCATTTAAAAGACTTGGTTTTAGATCTCTAATGAAGAATTATTTGTGATTGCTTTTATATTTGAGATGATATTCAAAAGTATATATTTGCCTCCAAGCACTTAATCTACCAAGTAGTTCTTACTGAAGCACTCACTCAGCTTCCTCCTCTCCCAGCCCACCCTGCAAAACAAACAAAAACAACTCTGGTAAATTCATAAACTGTTATCCTTCTTCAGAGTATTTATATTGCTGAGGAACAAAAAGTCTTTAGGTTATTGATTATTATAATAGCTGAATAGTTGTAGAACTTTGGATGGGATGGAAGGGATATAATGCTAATCAGGTATCAGAGATGGCATTTGGAACTGTGCTTGCCAAGATAGGTCTAGCCAAAAATAGTTGGTTCAGTCATTTGGTATTTCTGGTATTTGTGTGTGTGTGTGTGTGTGTGTGTGTGTGCATAGCCATGGCCATAAACTCTTAAAGGATCCCCAAAACTTAACTCATTAGCTAACAGCAGTTTGGTAAATGGCAATTTTAGAAGCTTTATTAAAGTATGGCTGATAATTGAATGACATAAATGGGAATCAATTATGAGTATCCAAGCCTATAAAATTATTTTGGCATACCAAAATAATATACATAGGGGTTTTTGGGTTTTTGTTTTTTTGGTTTTTTTTTTTTTTTTTGGTAGCTTTTTGTTCATTTAGATTGTTAAAAAAAAAAAAAAGGTTTCTGGGTATTTATTCACAGTTCTAAAAGCTAGTTATTTTTCTTTTTGTCTAACCCAGGGTGTCAGTGTGGAGGCAGTTGATCCAGTGTTCCAAGCCAAAATGTTAGATATGTTGAAGCAGACAGGAAGGTAAGTATTCTAACTAATTTTATAAAGGAATAATGGGAAGTAGTTTTAGAAATGTGTTTCAAAAATCTGGATGTTTATGACTATCATACCTGGAAAAAAAAAGCCATGTACTTAATGTAAATTATCACTGTCAGTCCTGTGTACTACCTATCTAGTATCTCTTTCTTTTAGAATCAGAGAAATTTGCCAATGAGAAAACTGCCTCATGTTAAAATTCTCAACCATCACATAGTAAGCTTGGGCTGCAGCTTCCCTGTTCAGCATATGGAGTTACTGTCTGGTCATTTATAATTGAAAGAGCTTGTATGTTCCATATATTGGAGAGTTGGGACTAAATAAGATTCTGGCTATTTAATTATATTAGGCATATGATTTTTAAAGACAGAGAAAGTAGAATTTAGATATTTTTCAAGTTTTTCCCCAGATTAAATCTCTCAATAGTTGTCATTCTCTTGCTCAAATTCTTCTACTGTGGAAGAAACTTCAAAATTAATGTTAGCAAAAGGCTCAGCAGCTGAGCAGAACAGTGCAAATTGGTTTTTGACTGAGTTCCTAGTTCTACTGCTGGTTTAATTGATATTTAATCCTTTCACAACAGTGAATCCTGGTGTCCATTGTTAACAATGTACTCTGCCTGGAAAATCCTATTCCCAGAGCTAAGGAGTTAAAGAGTAGATATTTACTTGAATGCTGAAAGGGTAAAAACTGGCTCAGAGAAAGTGTGGTAACAAGGTGAAAAACTGAAAGCCGTATCTACCACTGCTAATGTGCATCTCTTAATGATAGCACTCCTTTGTCATGCTTATTCATTTCCATGTTTTCTGGATAATATGGTGTATGATTTCAATGTTTCTAATGGTGCTTTTTCACACCTGTGTGTTTTTCATCTCTTCTTCATTTATACCCTGTTAGTGTGTTGTTTCTTTTCATAGCATACATGTGTATTACTTGTTCTGTTCTGAACTGCTGAATGCCCTCTTTGTTTCAGGCCTGAGATGGTTGTTGGTTGGTATCACAGTCACCCTGGCTTTGGTTGTTGGCTTTCTGGTGTGGATATCAACACTCAGCAGAGCTTTGAAGCCTTGTCGGAGAGAGCTGTGGCAGTGGTTGTGGATCCCATTCAGAGTGTAAAAGGAAAGGTAGAGTAGATTCTATCTTTATTAGCACCTACTGCCACATTCTGTTTACAGATACATTAGATTAAAATTTCTTTTGTTTAGAGCAGGATTTGTACACACACAGAAAAAAAAAACCCTGTGTATTTAAAAACACAAACAAAAAACTGTACAAGTCGAAAAATGTGTCTTGGTATAATTAGCAATATAACTATTTGGAGATTTGTTTCTACTTTAATCAGCTAAAATTGTCTAATCATACATGTTTAAATTTAATTTTATTTCATAGATTTAGGAACATTAAACCACATAAAAGCCTGCTATGCACATTTTATTATTATTTTAGTAAACATTGTTTTATCTTCCTTTATTTTAAAATCGTGAATTTGGGATTGGCACAACATTTTATGTCTCTAGTTAAAGACTCTCTGTTTTGCAGACATTGTATAGAACATATTCTGGAGTTGGATGTTCCAAATGTTTTAGACAATGAAAACTTGACCCAAAGACTTGGTATCAGCCATTCGCATTTTTGGAGTGAGGATGCAGATGAATGATTAAATATGCTAAATGATTCAGAAAAGAGATTAACTTGCAAAGCATATTGGGTTATAGTTGTTCTTTGTTGAAATCTTTTGTTCTTGTTTAGTTCTTTTTTTCCCCCCTTCGTTCTCTCTCTCTTTCTTTCTTTTTTTTATTTCTTTCTTTCTAGCCCCATATGCCATTTTCCTATTTCCTGCCTCATGACAGCAGGGAGCAGCTCTATTATCACCTTCACAGAGCTGTCTGCAAATGTGAGAGGCAATTCGATTTTGCTCAACCACAGGGAGAGTGGATTAGAAAAACTACAGAACATACAGAAATTGGCTAGGTGGTTACTGCTTTAAAATACTGCTGAGGTGTCTTGTTTGAGCATGTACTTCCATTGTAGTGTAGAATAATTGTTAAAATCACAATACATTTATGGAATCCTTTTTATGCAGCTTTTACAAATAATTTTTAGAGCACTTAAAAATAAATATTAGCTTGCTATCTATCAGACCTGGAATTTGCTAGTATTGCAGATTACATTTATATCTGCTCACCAGCTCAAACAAACTAAATATGGCTATTAAACGTGGAGTTTTTATCTGTTTTGAATTTGAAGTTGAACACTTTCTGACATCCTATCATTATGACGAATAAAAATTGAGGTCTTCCCTAAATCATGATCCTATTAGATGTGATTTAGTTTTTCAGAGGTGGAAACTAGCCACAAAAACAATAATAATAGAAACCAATGTAGTAGATAATTCAAAGAGGATCACTTCTGATGCTTGCTGTATACCTGTATTTCAGTTTATTCTTTTTAAAACTATATTGTTACTTAACTAATACAGATAAAAGGAGTTAAATCCTTGAATTTTGTTAGTTTTATGAATTAAAATAGAGTATGATACTTCCCTAAGTTTAATTCTCTGATACGGTACCTTTTTAATAACTCACAATTAACTCATTTAAGTAATAATAATTATTTTAGAAATATAACAGTTATCCAGTTAAGTACCCCCACCACAATATTTACAAAAGATAATTGAAGCTTAATTTTAAGTATAATTAGAGTTCTGTCTTGTTTATAGTATCTTGATGTCAGTTTTAGTTTCTAAACCTAGTTTAGGTATTATATAACATTGGTATTTGCATTGTTTATTTCTGATTAATCATAATTCATGTTAAAAGGATGACTTTCATTAAAACACTTGCATGACAGGACTGTTGTCATATGTTAAATGTAGTTATTTTTTCAAAATAATATATCTAAAATTACTTTATAAAATCATATGTATCATTGTCTAGTTTTACATGTCATAAAAAATATTTTTGAAAAATAGAGTATAAGTATCTGTCATCGATGATTCACATCACTTCTTGTACCCAACATAGATTCGTATAGTTAATATTACCTGAAATAAGGATCCAGTTCTTTCTCAATAGTGTAACTTCATCTGTAGGATGTCTGAGTTTGGTTATAATTTATGGTTCTTTTAGTGTCAAGACTTCTCAAAACTGTAAGCCAAACTTACGTATATAAACTTAAAAAAAAAACAAGAGTAACATAGGATTCTCCCTCTCCCCTTCCCTGCATGTGATTTATCAAAGCTGTCAAAATATTTAGCAAAACAATGATTAGATCAAGAGTTAAAATGACAATCTATATATAAATTATTCACATTGAGTCTCTGTTCACTTAATACCTCTTTCCTGTATATTTTATATTTTCATTTTCATAAATCCCAATATTATCTGTTTGTGAGTGATGAGGTAATTACTAATTCTTCATAGTCTCATTAATTCATAATGTTTGATTTCCTTTTATAGTGACTTGACTGTATATTTATGGAATTATTGCTGTGTGCCAGGTATTGTGGTGATAAATTTTCAACTTGTCTCATGTAGTTTTTAGTAATTCTGGGGATACAGGTAGTATTATTACTCCATTTTATCAATGAAAAGGTAAAAAAAAAAATTAGGGTCAAAGAGATTACCCAAAATCATAGCATTATTTTTTAATTTTTATTTTGTAATGTTTATTTTTGAGAGAGAGAGAGAGAGAGAGCAAGTGGGGGGGTGGGGGCAGAGAGAGAGAGAGAGCGCGAGAGAGAGAGGGAGATACAGAATCCAAAATAGCTGTCAGCACAGCTCTGAGCTGTTAGCACAGAGCCTAACGCAGGGCTCGAACTCACGAACTGTGAGTTCATGACCTGAGCTGAAGTCAGATACTTAACCAACTGAGCCACCCAGGCGCCCCCAAAATCATAGCATTATTAAGCAGCAGAACAAGAATACAAATCAGGTCTATAAAATTTCAGAGCTCAAACTGTTTTAATGGCTCTTTAATATTAGATAGTTCCAAACTATATAATTAGAGTAACACAGAATTGGAAAATGAGTACCAGAGGTCATTACCACACCCTTTCTTAACTTATTTGGATAGGTATCACTTCCCTCAGTGTAAGTCAGGGTAAGGGGCTACACATTTTGTCTAAGTTCTCAATAGTTCCCTGTACTATTTATAGTAGTTATTTATTAATTGATTTTTCTTATACAGTATTCTGTTAATTAAAAAAAAAAAGACAATTTAGACAGACCTGTCCCTGTCAGCTTTTGCGACATCCCTAGGGCCAAACATTGAGACCTACGTAAATAATAAAATACAGTATATGATAAAGAATCCACAGTATTCTGTATATTATGTAATCCTGTAAATGTTTAAAAATGATACAGGTAGAAAATGTTAATAACATTCATAATTTAAATGGAGAGTAAGCTATAGAAATTACTGGTGAGTCTCACTCTAAACTTCTCAGTGAAATAGTTAAAAATCTGTTTTAGTTTTTTTGTAAAATACGCATATTCAGATATTCTAAACTTCAGTTCTCAAGTAATAAAGTGACAGCCTCTTGCTTAAAGTTTTGTTGTCTTGAATATATAGCCCACAACTGGACTTGATCCAGCAGCAAATTTCGAAGTTGTAACATGATTATACTGTGTCCTTAGGGCAAAAAGAATGATGACTGTACAAAATCATAAAACTACCATGCAACTATTACTTCTTTTGAGAACCTATTTCCTTATCACAATTCCTATCAGTAAAAATGTTCAGATGTTACCTGCTGTTAACAATCTCCATGTTTTATTTCCTATTTTGAAAACAGTAAAAGAGAAAAAAAAACCCTCATAACCCTTTAGTCCATATAAATCTTCACACTGGCTGGGTTTTCTTGAGAAATTTCTGTTTACTCTGATCAGAAATCCTGTTTATCAGCAGGGATTTCTTAAGTACATCTGATGTGCCTGTGTGCTGATGATTCTAAAAAATGTCTTTTTGTGAAGATAAGTCATATACATTTAGTGTCACTAGTGAGCCAGATAACATTCTGCCAATTATATGCTTGATAACCCTATGTTGCATACTGGTAGAATACAAATTATACTGATACTGCTTTGTTTCTGTAACTAAGTATTAAGGTGGTTGCTAGAGAGAAATAATCCAGCAGATACTTATTTGGAACCTTGTATGTGCCAATATGCAATAAAGTAGTACTTGCGTAGCAAACATAGTAAATGGAAATTAAATTAGAAAGAAATTGGTATGGCTGCACAAAGTAAATGAAGCTTGGACTGAGTCTTGATAGCACATTACTCAGAAAAGATAAGTTTGTACCTTCTGGAGGAGAATGTAGAAACAGTTCTATTCCAGATTGTATACCTAGCCTCTTTGTTCATGCTTTTTCACGGATACGTTAGAATGTAAAATGAACAGTTTTTGATGATGTTGTTTTTAGTCAGCATTTTATAAAAAAGATAGGACTTTGAAGAATAAATGCAAATATTGGAGGAAAGAATTAAGGAATGAACATAAGAGCTTACCTTTTATTTTCAAGAGATTTAGAAGGTTTTGTCTTTTTCAGCGTAAGGAGGGCAAATATTTTACTTATCCAGAAATTTTGTATTAGAAGTTTTAAGATGGTGGAGATTTTAAACTACTCAAAAATAGTTTTGTTTTAGCGTTTTCTTCTTATTGTCATAAAGGCAGGGCATAGAGTAATGAAGAGCATGGGCTTTGGGATCAGGCCTGCATTAGAATCCCATTTTTATCTCTTTATCTCCTCTCTGTAGTATGACTTTGAGCAAGTTGCCGAATCTAGAACTTCAGTTGTCTCATCTATAAAACAGGGGTTTTGGTACCTGTCTCATAGTATTATGAAATGATCTATGTAATGAGTAGGGTGTGCATGCCATACAGGAGATGTGCAGTAAGTGACATTATATTCTGAAGGTTAAAATAATTGGTACTTTTTAAAGAGATTTACAACTAGCATATTTAAAAATATAGAATGTGAATATTTCTGACAATCTTTTAAGAACAAGTCTATACATTAACTGACTTGCTCATTTTAAGAAGATGAAGGCAATGACTACAAAAGAAATGGAAACTTCCCCTGTATTTTGTATTTCTTAATTTAAGAATACTTAATCAGCTG